CAAATTACAATCTGTCCAAAATTATTACTCTTTTTTTTAAATATCAAAGTTTTTGATTATGGTAACAATTAAACTAATTATATCAGTAAATGATAAATGTAAAGGACACAATCTTACTTGAACAGATGACACCAGCATCTTCATGGTGTCCACAATTGTGAGTCCCAAATCCATTGTGGCCACACACGGCAAGAGAAGATTCATTTCCAGAGCAGACCACATCATCAAGCCAGATCTGTCCAGTCCCCTCGCCAAAGTGGGCTGATTGTGGAGCACCCAGAGCAAGACCACAGCCCAGCTGTCTGCAGGCCACCGCAGCATCATTTAGGTCCCAACCATCATCACAGACTGTTCCCCAGGAGCCATTGTGGTAGATTTCAACTCTTCCAGAACATGGCTCGTTTGATCCAGATAATCTGATCAGATTATCTAAAAAGAAAGAACTCAAAGCTTGATTTAACATAAACCACTACAGAAATGGTAAAATATGCAACAAGTGAACCAACCTGATGCAGAACATGAAGACAGGAGGCAAGAGACTGCATTAAAAGAAATAAGCAAAAATGATCCATTCATTGTGAGCTAAGTTCAGACTTGACAAATCATCAGAGGACAAAATCTTTTCAAAATAATTTGTTACTAATTCTAATTTACTTCAGCTTAACTTAATATGAACAATTATTTTGTCATTTTCATCACCTTGCCTTTTTCCAACTTCTGTGTTAAACCACATCTGCATGAATAACCAATAATGTGTGTAGGATCACTGTACAAATTTGAGACATGAATCATAAACAAATCATCTATTTTTCTCACCTAAAAGCAGCAGATTGTTCACCATCCTGTTGACTGAGCATATGAAGAGAAGATGAAATCGAGACACAGCGAAGAAGAGTCCGTGCTGAAATTAGTTTCATCTGATCTTGTTGTCAGGTATCCTGTAACAACCTCTAGAGAACTTCTGCATATTATAATTAGATCTGCAACGAGCAAAATTCAAGGAAATAAGATGTAATAAGGTGTGTTGGACCTTTATTTCTGTATTTTATAGGGGTTTTATAGCCTACAAATTTGCCTGTAAACAAAATATTAGTAGAGCATCATATAAATATGAAGCTGCCTTTGAATGAATAGGTGTATTCATTTTTAATACTTTCCATATTCTAACCTCTGTGATGTGAGACTGTACATTATTGTAAATAGAAACAAGGCTCTCACAAAGAATAGTTTCTGTTTAAAGGGATTCATTTGACTTTTAGGTTATTTCAGTCACTGGAATTTGTTTTGGGATTTTCTTTAGGCCCTCATTAATCTCTTGCTTAAGTTTTAAAACATCCTTTTACCAAGACTACTCATGTAAGTTGACATTTAATTTAAATCAATTTTAAAAAATTGCATAGCTATAGCACATTATTCATTGCAGTACATTATATTTTACCCAAATAAAAAATCTCCAAACAGAAATGCAGTGGATCTAAATAGCTTAAAAACTCCTTTGTGAAAATAACTGGATTTTTGTGATGTTAAAAATCATCACAACAAACTACACCTTGAAAACTTTGTTTCCTTGTAACATGAAATCACACTAACTTGCAAATCTGTCTTAATGTAAAAAAAATAAAAAATAAAAAACACAACAGCCATTTCAATTTGGACAATATCAGATATTTGGTAAGAGCACCTGTGTGATGGGAGGAAGAAGCATTTGAAAGTCAAAACCGATCTCTCAGATGAGCTGAATTCATTTTCTGATGCCTATTTTGTTTCACACCCTTGTCCCGTGGCCCCATGAGGACACACTGGCCCCACCTGTAAATTTGCTCTAGAACCACCGTTGATCGTGTTCTCTGAACTGTGCGCACATGGGCTGTTCAATGAACTCATGGACTACTTTCATTCACAACACTCATTGTGAATGAAAATAGTCCTATCAACTTTTAGCATAAATGTAACAGCATACTTGAGGGAAGTCTGTGGATCCAAGGAGACGGCAGCGCGTCAGAGAGAGGCAAGTACTCATGTTCTGAGGACGATTGAGCTGCAGAGGACAATCGCAGTAGCGTGGTCTGGAGTAGTTCTTTTATGGGAGGTTTGCTGGTGACAGGGTTTGAATGCGGAGAGAACAGAGGTAAGTATTCATAATATTCTTCACAATTCATTTGAATTAAAGAGACACTGGAGAATGCCAGGAGGATAGAGGATAATCATCCAGAGGAGAATGGCTGTCATGAAGCTCCTCATAGCTCCAGGAGCTTGATGATCAGCAGCAGGTGTGCAGAAGCACCCTCTGTAGAGATCCTCTTAAATCCTGACAATCAGAAGGTACAACTTGTTTCTTGTTAAGCTACATGCTGCAATTATTTTCTCTTACAATCTTTAGAGATAGCTGGATTATAACCCATAAAATCTGGATGAAAAGTTGCCCTTGAAACAGTAGACACTAAGTAAATAAAACTAAATAAAAATATTATATTTTGGCTTTTGGGTAATCCTAACTCAATACAATGAAGTATTACCCTATTCGCTGTGAACAAACCAACTAAAAGCAGGGTATAACTTATAGAGTTATTCTATTAAGTGCAGGGTATAATTCACTGGCAGATTTGTGAACAGGAAATACTGTTAACTGCTGCAATGCATTATGTTGCCTAAGCAAAACAGCTGCAACTTGTGCAGAAAAGTTAACAGTCATTTTCTGAAAATATTAAGAGAAATTTTACTTCCTGACTTGCTGCATTACACAGCAAGTTGGCGATACTGTAGCAGTAGCTGTTATAACAATGAATCATTGATGCTGGACCCCATTAAACTTCAGGTCAGCATTATTGGTCTCCAGAGCTAGACCCATACGGCAGAAATTGAAGAGCTTAAGTCTATTAAAACGTTATTGAAACTTTGTTTATAAGTTAGTTTGAATGAAATAAGTGATTTTAGGAGCATCACACATCCATAAGGTTACATGGGTTTTGTTCTGGCCACAAGTCGTTCAAGGCTCCAGATAAGCTGCTGTGTCACTTTCCTCAACTGTGAGTGTTTGTTTGGTGAGTGTCTGTGTTTGGATATAGTTTTCAATCACTTTTTATTTTTTTTAATCAAAAATTTCTTAAAAAGCTGTGTACTAAATGTATGTCACAACATTACATTTTGTAAGAAAACGAGATTTACATATCAGCAAGAATAGCAAATGAGCATCTCATCATGTAAATTTGTCCTGGGCTGTGAATGAATGAGTGTTTGTATTTGAATAATCCAAAAATAATTTCACAGCCATCAGCCAGGAAGAGCTGTTGGTTTAATGCAGTTCATGTAGTTTGACATAATTTACATAAGCAAAATAAAAAGAATACACGGCTAATCTAAACTGACTGCATAAATCCCAATTCTGTACTATGAGAGGAAGGAAAATGTAGTGGTACTATTGGGATAACAATTGGTGGGTTTTCTATGGTCACTATTTATTAATATTTTATTGTTTCATAAATGTTTTAATATTAGGGCTTGGCAAGGAACATCAAAAGGCAGATACTCATACATTTAAGTATTCAGAAAAATGTCTAATAAAGAAGCATAGTTAAGCTGTAAAATTAAAGCAGAACACTTCATGGAAAAGGTTCATAAACACAGGGATGTTTAAATACATATAAAGGTTGGTATACTCCTCATGTAGGCAGCTCCCTGCATGAGACACATACCAAGCATACATCTGGGTAAAAACTACAGTGTGTTGTAATCAACATAACTCACTCAGTTGTTTTGGCTTGTCCACTCTAACCAGTAGATGGCAGTATAGACCGCCTCTCACATGTGTAACAAAATCAGGTGAGAAGAACAAATTGTTGAAGTTGTGTTGATCTAACGCTGCTGTACTGTATGTACAGCTTCTAATGTATGTTGTCTCTTTGAAGTATAAAGTGAACTAGGTTTTTCTTTCTTCATCAAAGGTTTTAACATTTGGGATGCACATGTCATGTCCTTAGCTCCTGTATTGGTGCTCTCTTTTACAAAAAGGAAAATAGAAAAATTTGACTCACTTTTTTCCTCCTTTTGTTCCAGCTGAATAACAGTGAATTAGTGTGGTGACAACAGTAAGATGGAATCAGCAAAAATCTATTGAATAGGGAGATTTTTAAGCCTATAAGGCAGAGGTTCCCAAACTGTGGGGCGCGCCCCCTGGGGGGTGCGCCGTGTCATTGCAGGGGGGGCGCGGGAAGCCGTCTGGATGAAAAAAAAAACAAACAAAACATGAACACTGTATGCACTGGGTTTTTACCTTAGAATGGCCAACTCTCTGTTGGAAGTGTGGAAGCAGAGGCTTCCACACTTCCCATATCTGTGTCCTCTGTCACTTTTATCAGCAGGTAAAACTGTTTAATTCGTTGTTAACATGTTGTAACCTGTTTTTCCGAGCCGCCTTTAAACGCAACGCGACACTCGCGCTGGGTTTCCACCTGTGAAGGAGACCTGCTGCTGCTGGGCGGAGCTACAGGTGTGTTAGAATCACGGCAGCAAACCAGCAAAACGCAAAGAACTTTTCACAGTTTTTCCCTCCAAACTAACCGACTGTTGAGTAAAGCTGCTGGATGCAGGTAATGTTAGCTAAAAGATGACTAGCTAATGTTAGCTAAAAGATGACTAGCTAATATCAATACAGAACCTTTAGCTTAACAAGTACCTTGTAGTAGGCTACCGATGTTGGTGTCTATTTTCAGCTACGTACATTCATTTTGCCCCCCACCACCGTCACACGCGTCGTTTCAACCAGACAGCCATTTGTAATCCATAGGGGGGGGGGGGCGCAGAAAATGTTTGGAAACCACTGCTATAAGGTATAATATTACCTCATCCTCTAAGTATGAGCTGGGTATTTATGCAACATTGACAGAGAATGTAAACATTGCAGTGCTGTTCATTATTATATAGTCTAAATTCTTTTATGGTCTCAGAGCGCCTCCTGTGGTTGATGGATAATAACACAAGCTTTCAAACTCATTTAAACAGTTTGAAAACAAAATCTAAAAAAATGTAAAGAAACAGTTAAAGTTAACAGTTAATAAACAGTTTATTGATAATGCTATCAATTGGAATACTTTTATAATTTGTGTTTATTTTTAATCTTAATTTATTCTGGTCATTAAATACTAATACAAAAACCTAATAAGAAAATAATACATCTTAAAATCTTCTGAACGGAGTTATTTCTTCAATGTGAAGTTTGTATATGTTGGTTGTGACAAAGATAAGCGGTTCTCAGGCTCCATTTGTTAAAACTATTCATGCTCTGCGGAGTTTTTGTTCAGTGTTTCTGCTTTCTGTGTCACTGTGACTATCTAGCGCAGTGATAAACAGCAGAATCTCCAGCTGTCAGGCTGTTCATCTGCAAATACACCCGACTTCTGCTGTTGTCTCTGGAAACGATGAACCGGCCTTTTACTGAGTCTGAGTAGTTAATGTAGCCGCTGCCACTGCTGACATAAGCGATCCATTCCAGTCCTTTTCCAGCTGCCTGTCTGATCCAAGCTACGCTAGGATCGCTACTAAAACCAGAATATGTGCAGGTCAGTCTGTGAGATTCTCCAGGTCTTTTAATCACTGGTTCAGACTCAGTCAGTGTTTGACCGTCAGTTCCTGCAGACATAGAAATCATTAGGTTCTGGGCTATTATTGTTTCTCTATTTATTACCTAAGAGACATTCCTGTAAACAATTTGTTTGTCCTTACCTGTCCAGTTAACTGAAAGGATGAGAAAAACAATCACAATTCATGTCCTGAGGGGATTTCGTAAAGCTCTGCTGATTGTGCCACTGTGGAAAACCTGGCACAATACCAGTTTGTCATGTCAACAATATACGTTCAAAGCTTTTAGTCAAGCAGTATTTTATTAGATGTAATGTTCAGATTTTACGTAGTTATTAACTGATAACAACAAGTTAAAAGGAAAACCAATTTTGAAAAAGAAAAAAAAAAGTAAATGTAGAACAGAGCTGGACACACAATGTGCCAAAAAAACTTTATCTTCTACTGATTTCAATACTGTTTGTAGCTTGCATTAAAATCTCAATATTTACCAAGTAATGTAAAGGTGGCACTTTTAATGGACTTTTAATGTAACTTTTAAAGCACATATGCATTTAAAGTATCATTATTTACTGAATGAAACTTCATGACAACAGTCATAAACATTTATAAAGACTCTTTAATGTTCATGACAGATGTTACATCATGTTAATGACAGTGTCATGCCAGTTTTATGTTCACTCCATCAAATAAAGTGTTACCTCATCCTGTTAGCACTTTTTTTTCTAATAATGATAATGAAAACATACCTTTTCATTGTCTTACTTCCTTAAGAAAATGAAACGGTATGTTGTTTTATAAGATAATGTATCTTTTACGGTGCCAGCAGGGGCGCAACTACATATTATTAAGGTGGATGCGAAAACGTACCTTCCTTTCTCAGAAGGAAGGTACGTCAGGGTGAAGAAGCGTATAAAACAGCTCGCTCTATAATGTTAGTGAGGATGAACACAGTCAGTTAAAAAAAACACTGCCATAAAATACTGGCGAGTTAAAAATAACTCGCCCTGAATTACCATGATAGATATAATGTATGTAATATTCAATCGAGCTGCTCCTGTCCAATTAACGTGTATCATTAATGAAGGGGAAAAAACTCAATACAGACTTTCAGTAAGTTTAGGGTCTGGTTCGCAGAGTATGCAGTTAAATTTGTTTCACAATTATTAATTAAAAAAAAAAACTTAGTTAAGTAAATTGTTATCAAAACATTTGGAATTGTAATCATTTCTTTTTTTAAAAAACTAAAAGTTTTGTTTAAAAAACTTTTTTTTAATTAAATAACTCATTTTTGCCTCGTGAACTTAAAAAGTTATTTGTAAAACATAAACTTTTATTTGCACACCACATCAGAAATCNTGTTTCATTCTTTTTTATTTATTTTTTAAAACCTAACTCTATGGATCTGTTTGTGGTCACACAGGCTTTATTTCTAATTAAATTACAATCTGTCCAAAATTATTACTCTTTTTATAAAATATCAAAGTTTTTGATTATGGTAACAATTAAATTAATTATATCAGTAAACAATGAATGTAAAGGACACAATCTTACTTGAACAGATGACACCAGCATCTTCTCCATGTACACAATCGTGAGTCCCAAATCCTCTGTGCCTACACACAGCAAGAGAAGATTCACTTCCAGAGCAGCCCAGATTATCAAGCCAGATCTGTCCAGTCCCCTGGCCAAAGTGGGCTGATTGTGGAGCACCCAGAGCAGGACCACAGCCTGACTGTCTGCAGGCCACTGCAGCATCATTTAGGTCCCAACCATCATCACAGACTGTTCCCCAGACACCATTGTGGTAGATTTCAACTCTTCCAGAACATGGCTCGTTTGATCCAGATAATCTGATCAGATTATCTAAAAAGAAAGAACTCAAAGCTTGATTTAACATAAACCACTACAGAAATGGTAAAATATGTGACAAGTGAACCAACCTGATGCAGAACATGAAGACAGGAGACAAGAGACTGCATTAAAAGAAATAAGCAAAAATGATCCATTCATTGTGAGCTAAGTTCATAGTTGATAAATCATCAGAGGACAAAATCTTTTCAAAATAATTTGTTACCATTCCTAGTGTACTTCAGCCTAATTTAAGATAAGACTATGAACAATTATTTTGTCATTTTCATAACCTTACGATTTTGCAACTTCTGTGTTAAACCACATCTGCATGAATGTATGTAGGATCGTCGTACAAATTTGAGACATGAATCATAACCAAATCATCTATTTTTCTCACCTAAAAGCAGCAGATTGTTCACCATCCTTTTGACTGAGCATATGAAGAGAAGATGAAATCGAGACAGCGAAGAAGAGTCCGTGCTGAAATTAGTTTCATCTGAGCTTATTGTCAGGTATCCTGTAACAACCTCTAGAGAACTTCTGCATGTTATAATTAAATCTGCAAAGAGCAAAATTCAAGGAAATAAGATGTAATAAGGTGTGTTGGACCTTTACCTTGTGTGTTTTATAGGGTTTTTATAGCCTACAAATTTGCCTTTAAACAAAATATTAGCAGAGCATCATATAAATATAAAGCTGCCTTTGAATGAATAGGTGTATTCATTTTTAATATTTTCCATAATCTAACCTCTGTGATGTGAGATTGTACTAAATGTAAACAGAAACAAGGCTCTTACAAAGGATAGTTTCTGTTTAAAGGGATTCATTTGACTTTTAGGTTATTTCAGTCACTGGAATTTGTTTTGGGATTTTCCGTATGACATCTGCTCCAGGAACTCAACGTATACACCACGTCAGAGAAGTTTGGCTTTCTGAATATTCCAAATCAACAAGCCAGATATGCTTAGCATATCTACCAAACTTGTCTAATGGAGAGACAGCCTTTTCTGCACAGCAACCCAATTTTTAAATCGGTTTGTTTAAATGGTCTTCATGTTTACAAAAGATTTCCAAATAAAAACCTGAAAAGTGCAGAATGTTTTTATATTCAGACCTTTATAGGTAACTCTCTTTTTGCATGGAGAATAAAACTGAATTGTTTTACCTGCACTGCACTTGCATCAGTGCATACTCATGTGTTAGAATACCCCTGTCAATACCTAAATTTGATTGTGAATTTGTGGCAAGACTTATTTTGTGAATGAGAATAGACCAATATTTCAGTCTCCAGGTGTCTGATACAGAGACATACCCCAAAATACCCAGGAAATACCATAAAGTCCAGTATGTTTTTGCAGTGCATTGTACATTTATACTCATCCAGTTTTACAGACTAGTTTGGTTGTTAAATTATTGATGGAAGAAAAATTACAAAAAGTTTTGGTCTCTCACAAATGTTTAAATATCAGCAACAAAATCTACCAAAATCTGGGCTACATCATTTATTAAAATTCACCCACAGACAAGAACACCATCAAATACAAAACAATGATAATTACAGTATGAAAGCAGAAATATATATAGGCTCAAAATCTAAAAATTAACCAATCACCTTTTATCCCATAGAAGATTATACATTACAGTTGTGAAGAAAAAGTCAAAACCTCAATAACTACAGAAATGCTTTGATAAAGTCATAGGAAAGCCTCAAGTTTATTCAACAAACTTTTAGAACTTTTTCTTACTTTTTTTTATTAAACCCAGTGAGTAGCATATCTGCCGTTGTTAGAAAAAAATGATACTTGAACTTTTTGGGGGCTAAGCAATGGATTCATTAAAGGACATTTTGTTTAAATCTAATGATATGAAGTGTTTCATAATGTTGTTTTACGGCTTGAACTTTGATCTCAACCAAATTTCTCCCTCATAGAGGTTTGCATGTGTTATTTTATGTGTTCTTATATCTGAACAGTTATATAAAAAATGACTTTTTCGTTCTTGTTTACTTGCTGAATATATTGAGCAACTACTAACTTTGCTCTTTGCACCATGATTTATTTTGCTGATTACACCGTGACAACTTACACATTCACCTCACGCAACACTCATTACATTAGATTAGTTTAGGATAGTCGTACATGAGCAGATTGAGGAAGGGTCAGGAACATAAACTTCAGTTATTAATAACAGAAACTGTGACATTGTCACTTAGAGGGGAGGTGAAAGTTTTTTGTTCCACAAGTTTTTTGTAATAACAGCTGTAATTTCCCTCATGATTATTACTGGCTTCAAGAAATCTGAACGTAGAGGAGCTGGTACTTGATTGTTGGGTCTTAGTGAATGATCCAGAGGTCTTCTGCAGGGTGAATGATCCGCCTAAATATTGGGTCGAAATAGAACAATTGATGGCAATGAGGTCACCAAAGGTAACCACGCCTGCAGGGTCCATGGTGATGCTTGGTTTTGGAAGAATCACTAAAAGCATAATGAGAATGTTATTTATTATGTCATTTTGAACTATTTGATTAAACTAATTTCACAAACAATTACCTGTCACGTTCAGGTTGACATTATCACTAAAAACTGAGCTAGAATCTGTTCTTTGAAACTGACACTGGTACGATCCCTCATTTGTAAACTTGAATTGATGGATAAGATTGTTCACCTGTTATAACACTTTCACACTTATAGTAAGCTCAGTTAATCTGCATAATACAAATAAAAACACACCTTTGATATAGAGCGGGACATCACTGCTGAAGTTAGAGCTGAAGTCTTCGTTAGAAATCTTCACTTTAAACTGACACTGGTAGTCTCCCTCATCCGTAAAGGTAACTTTAGGGATATATAGAGTAGCAGAGTTGCTGCTTGAATCCACAGTCTGGGTGAAAGGACCTGGGGTCTTTGTGAAGATGAATGATCCTTCTACTTCACCCCCAGTAATCGAACAAGTAATGTGGACATCCTGCCCCCACATAATCACACCAGCGGGCTGGATGGTGATGGTAGGCTTTGGTAGGCTCACTGAAAAATAACACAATGTCAAATTAGAAAAATGTGAAAGAGGACCAAAGTGCAGACTTGAGCCTCCCATGGACATAAATAATTTATTGACATAGACAGACAGCAGCAGAACAAAATAATGCAGACAATGGAGGGTCCAGGAAACAAGAAATGGCAAACCAGAAGGAGACACTGGAGAAGAGCGAGCTTAACCATACTGAGTGGAAGTGGACATGACAAAAGAGCAAGCAAATTTGAAAACAATCTAAAACATAAAGACAAAACATTACCAGTTAGCTGGACAGAATCACTCAAGTTGGTGCTCAAGTCTTGATTAAAAGACCTTCTTTGAAACTGACACTGATACGGTCCATGATCCACCAAGTTGACTTCACTGATGTGGAATGAAGCCGAGCTGCTGCTTGAATTTACAACATGAGTGATTGGTCCTGCTGTCTTCTTGAAGATAAATGATCCTCCTACTTGACCCTCAGAGACTGAGCAAACGATGTTGACAGTCTGACCAATAGAAACCACACCAGCAGGATCCAAAGTGATGCTGGGCTTTGGAAGAAATACTGAAAAAATAACACAAGACAAAAGCTTTACTGCCCTTAAACCTTTGACATAATTCACAGTGAGGGAACGTCACAGTATATTTTAGAGATCTCATAAGAAGTGGCAAATATGAATTAAAACATTATTACCAGTTAGTTGGACAGGGTCACTGAAGCTGGTGTTGAAGTCTTGATCAGAAACTCTCCGTTGAAACTGACACTGGTATAATCCCTCATCTCCCAGGTTAGCTTGAGTGATATGGAAGGTAGCTGTGTTGCTGCTCGAGCTTACAGTTTGGATGAAATTACCAGGTGTTCTCCTAAAGACAAATAATCCTCCTGCCCGACCCTCGATGACTGAACAGGTGAGGGTGGCATCCTGACCCCACATCACCCCACCGGCAGAATCCAAGGTGATGGTCGGCTGTGAAAGGTTCACTAAAAAGCAACAAAAACATCACGTCTTTTGTATGTTTAATCAAATGGTCAAAGCTAATAAAAAATAATTACCAGTTAGCCAGACAGGCTCACTATAGCTGGTGTGAAACACTTCACCAGAAACCGTTCTTTGAAACCGACACTGGTATAATCCCTCATTTCCCAAACGGACTTGCACGATATGGAAAGTAGCCAAGTTGCTGTTTGAGTTTACAGTCTGAATGACAGAACCGGGAAGGTTTGTGAAAATAAACGATCCACTCAATCCATCCATAACGTCACACCTGATGCTGACACTCTGACCCCAAGAAACCAGAGCGGCAGGCTGCAAGGTGATGTTGGGTTTTGGAATTTCACCTGAAAAATGGTGCAAAGTTTGGTCACCTGTTATAGTCCTTTAACCCTAAAGTAAACTCAGTTAATCTGCAAAATAAAGATAAAAACTCACTGTTAATATAGAGTGAGGCATAACTGCTGAAGTTGGTGCTGAAGTCTTCGTTAGAAATCTTCACTTTAAGCTGACACTGGTAGTCTCCCTCATCCGTAAAGGTAACTTTAGGGATATTTAGAGCAGCAGAGTTGCTGCTTGAGTTCACAGTCTGACTGAAACTTCCTGAAGACTTCCTGAAGATAAATGACCCTCCTCCTTGTTCATTAGTGACTGAACAAATGATTTTGACATCCTGATTGAGATTAATCACTCCAGAGGGTTCAATACTGATCGTGGGTTGTGGAAAGATCACTAAAGAAATGAGACAGTTGTTATTTTCTCAGCACATTTATTTAGAGTTTTATGAGTAAATGATACAAAACAGTACTACCTCTTAGTTCGACTGTGTCACTAAAGAGAGTGGTGAAGTTCTCATTGGGAAGCATGACTTGAAGCTGACACTTGTACCATCCCTGATCATTGAAAGTGGCCTGAACGATGTAGAAAGTAGCAGAGTTGCTGCTTGAGTTCACAGCCCGGCTGAATGAGCCTGTGGTCGTCGTCAAGACAAATATCCCTTTTACTTGTGCATCAGTGACTGAACAACTGATGCTGACATTACGACCCAAGGTGATGTCACCTTGAGGAGTAAGTTCAATAGTGGGCCTTATAGGGCCTGTCAAAAAAAAACACATTATATAGTGTCAGAGTCACAAAGTGCCACCATAACATAGTAAATACATTTCATAAAGGACTGTCAGGCTTCAGATTTGACGTCATTTCTGTACAATTATAACACTGATTCTATTTTCTTCTATTTATTGCAGTACTTTTATACAGTCTGTAGCGGCTAAAATCCTATATTTTAGGCTATTGGTGGTTGTTCTTGAAAGGCGTTGGTTTTACTTGCTCTCAAATAAGATTCATGATGCCGATCTTCCCTTTGACATAAAATAAAGTCATTTATTTTCAGAACAATGTCCATTGTCTTGCTGTTTCCATTTAGATCCACATAAATTTGATTTACATCCAAACCAAGCACAGTAGAAAACTGTTTGCCTCTGCCTATTAACAACACCTGAACAGAATGATGGTTGACCTTAAATAACCCATCCCCCCCATCAGACACTCAGAACTCAAAATTAAATACGCCCCCTGGTGGCGATAAACACCAGAAAGGATAAATAGCTCCTACACAGTCTCTCGTTTTTCCTTTAAAGTTACGTTAATTAATTTAATCAGCATTTGAATTCATAAAATAATGAATAAAGTAGAACTTTTTTCAATTCTCCCAATGAGGATTTAAATTACACTCAACTTCTATAAGTTTTTACTAATGCCTTTAGTAGGAAACTGACATTACCTGAACAGATGACACCAGCATCCTGACTGTGAGCACAGTTATGCACACTAAATCCACTGTGGGAGCATTCAGTCAGATATTTTTCATTGCCTGTACAGGCCACCTCATCAAGCCAGATTTGTCCTGTTCCCACTGCAAACTGACGGAGACTCACTGCTGTACCACAGCCCAGCTGTCTGCAGACCACTCTAGCATCATTTATGTCCCAGTTATCATTGCAGACTGTTCCCCAGGATCCACTGTTGTAGATTTCGACTCTTCCAGAGCACCGAGCTGACCCAGCTAATTTTACGTTGCCGCCTAAAAACAAAATCAATACCAATCAGGCAGTACATTATCACCACTTGAACTGTATGATACACATCATCTCTTCATCATGACACATGTTAGTAGGTGGAAAAGATTAGGTAGGTATTAGTGGCACAAAAGGTAAGGATTTTACCAAGTTTGACATGGTCAAAGTTGGAATGGTGACATGACTGGGTCAGTTCATTTCTAATACAGCAGCTCCTTTGAGGTATTCCAAGTTTCAGTGGTCAATAACTATTGAAACAGTTAAAGGAAATAAAGGAAATAACAGTGTAGAACCAGTAACGGAGTGATGGGAGGATAAGGCTAATGTAGTTGAGAAGCAAGGTAAGGTAAGGTAATTTTATTGATGTAGCACATTTTCAGCAACAAGGCAATTCAAAGTGCTTAGCATTAATTAAAAGGAAATACAAACAAAATAACAAACCATAGGAAAGCTTTTAACCTTTTTTGGGTTAAAAGCAGGGGTGAAAGTATAGGGGTATGGCAGGGTACTGCGTACCCCTAAACGATTTAGCAGGGGTACGCAGTACCTGGAAGAGAGAGGAGCGGCTGTCTGCTGTAAAAAGTCAGTGGGTTCACTGTGCAGCCGTGACTGATTAGTTTTTCAAGAACAATCCAAAACGCGACTTAATCAGTTAATAAATAGCTTTCCCCCTCAAAACGTTCATAACTTTATTAAAGAACAACAACAAAAAGTCAACAAAACGTTTTCAAATTAATGACCCAACAAAAATAATAATCTCAGTGATTATTGTTTCAACAAGGTCTTGCGCAATTCTGTGTGTTTCGGTTCCATTATCAAAGTAACTAGCAGAGCAGGAGTTTAAAATTAACTAATCAATCACCGCTGTGTTCATGAAAGGCTTATTGATAATGGCAAAATAAATATCAAGCCTGAAAACCTACTGTAATGGACTAAATGTTTTAAACATAACCTGTGCTCAGCTCGAGGCGGTTGCCACGGCAACGGGTGTGCTCAAACGACAAAGGGAGAGAGAGAGAGAGAGAGAGATAGAGTAAAAAAGTGCGAGTGGTTTTGAGTTGATCACCTGTTCAGGTTGTTTTACCTTTGTTTACCTTTGTCTTGGCGCATCACAGCCCTGTAGTTTCTGAACGCCCAATAAACGACAAACTTGGACTAATTACCTCGTTCTTTGCGAGTATATGTTATTTACAACAAACATCAAACACAGTAAATATGTTTAATTAAGTACCTAACAAACAAACGGCTTCTACGTGATAATTATGTGAAATTAAATTGTCTAATTCAAAAATAATAGTTTTATTGCTCTCTGGAATCTCGCTTTGAGCTCAGAGTC